ATCACAGATGAGTAGTAATTATAGATCATTTTATAATTCTGTTTTCTACTTATCATTTAATTTCATTTTCTTTAGTTAAATTTTTGCTTTTATTTTGGCTTAAAAACCTTGCACAATGTCTGATGTTTATGCCGTCCAAATTCCGGTTTATAACCGATCAGACCCATCTTTATGGTTTATTATGTGTGAAAGTACCTTTGCTCTTGCCACCCCCAAACCTATCACAGAATCCATTACTAAATATAATTATGTAGTTTCTCATCTTCCTCCAGATATTCGCATCTAGTACGGGATTTACTTATGAAACCAGACCCTATTGATCCATATGCAAAGCTTCAAAACTGAGTTAATAAATCGTTCAGGAGAATCTTCTCAGCAAGAAATTCGCCAATTATTATCTGGAGAAGAATTAGGTTCTCGAAAACCTTCCGATTTGCTTAGAAATATGAAACGTCGAGCAGAATCTTTAAATGTTCCTGATAACTTAATGTTAGAATTATTCCTTCAACGTTTGCCTTCGACTGTTCAGTCTATTTTGGCAGCGGTTTCCAATTTAACTGTAGATAAAGCTGCAGAAATTGCCGACAGAATTTTAGAAGTAAATCCAACCCCAGGGACTTGTGCCGTTTCTCGCACAGTCGATCAGTCTCTTGAGGATAAATTATTTAAACAAATAGAAAAATTAAACAAACGTATTGATCGCATTTCTCTTTCTCGTGGTCGCTCACCAAATCGCGGAGATCGCAATAAGGAAAGAAGCAATTCCAAAAGGAGAGATTATTCTGTTTGCTGGTATCATAGACGTTTTGGGAAAAAGTGTAGAGATGACAAATGTACAAAACCTTGTTCATGGCAGGGAAACGAAACGAAACCAGCAAAGAATAGAGGCGACTTATTCTTTGCCTCAAGTTTCACGTCGCCTGTTCGTTCGTGACCGTAGAACAAACCTTTCATTCTTGGTCGATACCGGCTCTGACGTGTCCTTACTTCCAGCAAATAATTCTCAGAAACGGAATTCGTCCCAACAAACACTTTCCGCTGCTAATTCTTCTACTATTCATGTTTATGGTCAAAAAACACTTTCTTTGGATTTCAAATTAAGACTACAGTTTACATGGACTTTTCTTATAGCAAATGTTAGTACACCCATTCTTGGAGCAGATGGAGCAGATTTTCTCCATTTCTTTGAATTGGTGCCTGATCTCAGAAACAAATGTCTCAAAGATTTAAAAACGCATTTTAAAACCGTCGGTTGCGTGAAAAATGCAAGCATTTATTCAGTAAAAACTGTATTTAGTGATGATACACCATATCACAAAATTTTAAAAGAATTTCCTTCAGTTACTAGATTACCAGATCCTAACCAACCTGTTAAACATAACACCGTTCATTATATCATAACTAAAGGTCCACCTGTGGTTGCAAAACCTCGTCGGTTAGCTCCAGATCGCTTAAAAATAGCAAAACAAGAATTTCAAACTATGATGCAATTGGGGCATTTGAGACCTTCGAGCAGCAATTATGCATCCCCACTTCACATGGTTCCAAAAAAGGGAAGTCTGGAATGGAGACCTGTAGGAGATTATCGAGCATTGAACGCTCAAACAATAAAAGACAAATACCCTATTCCATGCTTAGCCGATTTTACTGCTGCATTGCACGGTACTAAAATTTTTAGTCATGTCGACCTGATTAAGGCATACCATCAAATACCAATTAACCCAGCCGACATCCACAAAACCGCCATATGCACACCATTCGGTTTATTCGAAAGTACCCGTATGCAATTCGGCTTATGCAATGCATCCGCGACTTTTCAACGTTTTATAGATGAAGTCACGCGGGATTTAGAAGGTGTTTACGCTTTTGTCGATGACTTGCTCATAGCCTCTAAAGATTCTGAGGAACATTGCAGGCATTTGAAAGCTTTATTTTCCAAACTTCAGGAATATGGACTTTGCATAAATGTTTCAAAATGCACCTTTGGTCAAACGTCTATTGATTTCTTAGGTTTTCACCTTAGTGAAAACGGAATTGAACCTCTTCCTGACAAAGTCAAATGTATTTTAGATTTTCCTCAACCTACCACTCTCACTCAGCTTCGCCGATTTTTAGGCATGTTTAACTTTTATAGATGTTTCATACCTAAAGCAGCACATATTCTTTCTCCTTTAATAAAATTGTTAGAAGGCTATATTAATAAAAAGAAATCTCGTTCTCGTGTTCAGGATTCATCCCCACAATTAAATTGGAACGAGAATGCTGAACAAGCCTTTATTGCTGCCAAAAATGCCATTGCTCAGGCTACCCTTTTGAGACACCCTATTCCCGGAGCCCAGCTAAGCATCTGGGTAGATGCCTCAGACGTCGCAATAGGCGGCACACTTATGCAGTTGTCTCAACAAACATGGGAACCTATAGCATTTTTTCTCTATGAAACTCAATAAAAGTCAACAGAAATGGTCCGCGTACGATAGGGAATTATTTTCTATTTATTCTGCAATTAAGAAATTCCGACACATGTTAGAGGGCAGAAATTTTATAATTTATACGGATCAAAAACCGTTAATATATACGCTTTTAAACAGAACCCTCATAAATGTTCACCTCGACAATTGCGCCATTTAGATTTTATTTCTCAGTACTCTACTGATATTAGGCATGTGCAAGGTTCAAAAAACGTCGTTGCTGACGCTCTTTCAAGAATCGAAATTGATTCCATAACAAAATCTCCATTTTTGGATTTTAAAAAATTTTCGGAAGCTCAACGGCATGATCCGGAGGTACAAGACCTTCTCAAAAAAACAACACATCATCTTTGAAACTGGAATTTAAAACCGTGCCAATATTCTGATGGTAATATTCTTTGTGACATATCAACGGACATTCCTCGTCCATTTGTTCCGAATTCCTTTCGCAGACTCATCTTTAATCATCTGCATAATCTGTCACATCCAGGAATTGCAGCTACTACGAAGCTTATTTGTTCTCGTTATGTATGGCCCGATATGAAACGTCATATCAAAAATTGGGTGAAATCCTGTGAATCTTGCCAAAAATCGAAAATTACTAGGCATACTAAAGCACCACTGGGCACATTCTCTCTTCCTGATGCACGTTTTTCAGAAATCCATATGGATATCGTTGGACCGTTACCTCCATCAGAAGGCAACGTGTACCTTTTGACTCTAATAGATAGATTCTCCAGATGGCCTGAAGCCATTCCCATCCCGGATATGAAAACGGAAACCATTTGCAGAGCCATCTTCAACTGTTGGATATCTCGTTCAGACCAAGGTTCTCAAATGAGATCCGCACTTTTTGCAGAATTTACGCGCATTTTGGGTACGAACAGAATCACAACAACAGCGTATCATCCAATGTCCAACGGCATTGTTGAACGATTTCATCGACATTTAAAATCTTCTCTCAAGGCTCACGAGACCAATAACTGGACTGAAACACTACCAGTTGTTATGCTTGGTATTCGGACAGCCGTAAAGGAAGATCTACAGTCATCTTGTGCTGAACTGGTGTACGGCACACAACTCTCAAGCTGCCTAGTGATATGATAACGTCATCTAAGATATCTCCGTATGACACACAATTTATCACGAATCTTCGGCATAGAATGCAACAATTGAATCCAATAGCAACATCTGCACATTGCCAAGAAAAAATGTTACGTAAGTGCTACCTTAAAGTCGTGTACGCATGTATACTTACGTGTCGATCGAGTAAAGCCACCTCTGTGCCAACCATATACAGGTCCGCATAAAGTCCTTTCTAGAACGGACAAAACTTTCACAATTGATATTAACGGTCTGGAATCTACTGTGTCTATAGACCGTGTGAAACCAGCCTATTTGCTTTCGGACTCTAATTTGCCTGAACTGAAAACAAATAAAGACTTCAAGACAGTTCAGCAGAATAAATCTGCAAACGGACTCTCTAAGACACAAACTGTCACCAGATCGGGAAGACATGTTCACTTCCCTAAGAAACTTGCTTCTTACATAACAATTTAAAACACTTTTTTAAAATTCATATCTTAACATTATCATTCTTCTTGTTATTTCATGTTTATTATATGTGTCAATACCTTGTTATATATTGAATTGCATTTTGATCTTTTCTAATTTTATATTCTAATTTTGTAATCATGTAAAAAATACCCGACAGTACGGATCCTCTGAGATAATTTCATAACCTATGTCGTTCCTTTGAATAGCCATTAAAGGAACTGGGGGGAAAGTCTGTGGTGATGGCGATAAGGAGCGCGCCTTGCGCCCTCCGATAAGTGTGGCAACCCTATAGGAGAAGTTTCTTACGAGTAGCGAGCAGAGCGAAACAGGCAGGCTGTCGGGCAGTATGCGCGATGTTCCTAAATAAAGCTTAATTTTTATTGTGCACTATGTCTCGTTAATATATATAAATATTAACGAGACATAGTGCACAATAAAAATTAAGCTTTATTGAGGAGCAATGCAGTAGGAACATAATCTGTGATATGGAATTCGAGGATTGGTGGTAAAAACATATAGGAAATCACCATAGAATAGACCTCCTTGTGCAAAACGATTGAAGTCGTACCGCAACTGTTGTGGTGTATTGTCTTTTTGCCCGGGAGAAAATTTTAGTCGTGGACTTCAGAGAGAAAACAGGAAAACAAATTAATTCATTATTTGAATGTAAAAGTAATTTCACAGCGTTTGATACGAAATTTAAAGCCCTGGAGAAAAGTGTCTGCAATTACGATGAATACATTTTCAGATATAAAAGGTTGTACCGTTTATAGATTTCAATATCATTTAGATATGAAACTGTTCTATTAGTTATTATAAATCCTGAAGTTTATTACATTAATTTTAAATTTTGTATGAAACCATTTTTGTTTTCAAACTAATATTCACTTACCCATTTTCGTTCTACTCTCTTTGCGGGCGGAAAGATTTCGAAACGGTGCTGTAGAGTTTTGAAAATGAATTATAGTGTTATCTGAAAGAACGTTTTTTTGTACTTCATCTTCAGCATATCTAGGTATGACCACTTAATTTTACTACGAACTTTTATTTTCGTTGAATGTATGCAGTAACAATTTTTCATTTTTGTGTCATAATTCTTGTCTCAAAGGATCTGAATCTGTAGTCTGTTAACTGAACTCCTGAAACTGCAGATCGCTCGTATGAAATGGGTTTTTTCTAAATTCTAGGCATCTTGAGAATAACTAAAATGAGAATGATATTGTGATTTATATTCCCACTGTTTCTTGTTTTAAATGAAGTAATGCGTTTTTGATTGAGTATGGTAACTGAAGCTAGAGACATTTTTAAGATAGCAATAGATAATGAATTCTGAATGAGAAAGTGGTTTTCTCCCTTTTTTTTGGGGGGGGGGGTTTGTATGTATTTGCATATATATATATATGTATATTATTGCAGTGTAATGCGTTTAGGTGTTTTACGTATTTATATTTAGGTAGCCTTGATATAGGAATGTCTTGTATAGCTGTTCTAAACTTCAGAATATTGCTGTATTTAAAAAGAGTAGGGCAAGGAGGGGTAAAATAGGTCACTTTTGAGCTATATTCGCATCTGAAGTTTTTGTAGCAATAAAAGCATAGATTTTTCACTTTTTTAACGATTTCACCTTGACATTACATTTTTTTGAATATGTTGATGTAATTTTATCAAGCAATTTTTAATTACAAATTGATAAAATTCAGCTTAAAATCTTTTGAGCCATTTTATCCCAGGAGGGAGTAAAGTGGGTCATAAAACCTAAAATTCAAATTAAAAAATTTAATTACCTACCTCATATTTGCTAATTACCTACCTCATATACCTACCTTGTTTTTAATTACCTACCTCATATTTGCTAATAAAAATTGCAGGTTTTCATCTGCAGAGAATGCGTTAGTGCTTCGGGAAAGAACCTGTTGGCGGCGTTGCATTTTTACTCGCCAAGCTCGCATCTCATCACCGTAAATATAATTATTTATAAACGTGATATTTTATAAACGTGATTTTTAGTGTATGTAAATTCAAGTTAGCAGACAAAACAATATATTAAGCATATAGTTGTAAAAATTCACAGATAATAAGCATGTAGATGTAAAACTAACTGGTTAAACGTGATATACGAAAATAAATTTGTATTAAATTCAAGTTAGCACAGAAAACAATATACTAAACATAACGGGAAGTAAAAATTCATTTAAAAAATAAAAATTAGTACATTATACTTATATGCATTTTCTCTAATTCATATAGAATAGTAATATTTCTATTACAAGCGTCCTTTTTAATTTTTAAATACTTTGCTTGTTGATTGATGTATTTTGATAAGAGCCATGCCCATGTAATAAATTAATGAATGCATGACCTTTAGTACATCCATTTTACATTAACAGTTTTCAGTATTCCCCCCCCTCAAAGTTACTTCCATACAACTTAAAGCATTTTACGTTGAAACAAATACCTGTCTTTTTCATAATATATTTCACAATACAAATAACCTTCAACAGTAATCAAATTTTCTTCAGTAGCATTGTTAATAAAACTAGAACTTTATACATTTAATTATTTTTCAAGAGTCATTTGAACTGTATTCCTTACACCAGCAATGGTTTGCTAATTTTGATGACCATGGGCATCAAACTATTCTGTCATCTTGGATAATAATATTTTTTATTTCAATTTAATCAGCTATATGTCACACCTGCCAGGTGACACAGGTAACTATATATACTGGAAGCCACCGTGGTCTCTTGCAACGTGTTCACTACTTCGCAGACTCTGAGAACTATAGACACTTCCCTCCACTGAGCGCAAATGATGAACTTAATCACACACACTTCCACCTCAACCACCACCTCAGCAACAGTAAGCACATCCTCCTCACCAACAACAAAATCAGCATCCACAACACCCTCTCGACCATGCAGCAGTGGATCCAACTACGCATGCCCACACACTGGATCTGCAGCCACCACTGCCCTCAGGGCAATGATCAATCATATTAACGCACTTGGCTCGCATTCCTGTCTCAAACTAACCTTCTTCTCATATCGCATCGGAAATGCTTAGGAGAGGAGTGTTTGGTGATCTTGAAAGAAAATCAATGCTTGTAAATGTGAAAGAGTTTTAGTTCTTAGAACATATTATATGAGCTCTTTTGCTCTAGTGGTAGAAAATTCAGCTTGCATTAAAATGACCCAGGATCAAATCCCAAGGTCATTACCATCTTTAAGGGCATGTAAAACTCATGTGTTAGTATGTCTATTATTCTCTTAAAAGTACTTTCGATGTGTTAAATTTTCTTTTAAAATAAGATATAAAAAGATTCATGAATATGGACTCAAATGGAGGACTTCTGATTTGAAACACTGCCTGTGATCAGGAAACCTGGTGCTTGGCTATATGTTTATGAAGTTATGTTTAATAATAATCCATCCTACTTACAGATCTATTTATTTTTTGGATGATATTACAAAATTAATATCCTAAACATAAATTGAAGTTACTAAAGTTAAGTTTAGGCATAGATAATATTTTTAATTGAATTTATTCAAATCCCATTTGCTCATATATCCTTAATTTTTTTCATTAATGATCCTTAACCCTTCAATGCATGACTTTTTTATATTTTTACCAAACATTTTTTTGTCTTCATGGTCATGGCTTAAATAAATATGGAAAAATATTTAAAAAAATTAAAAATTTTTTATTGGTTATTTTTTGAATATTTAGGTTTGATGCTAATTTTAGTGCTAAATGCAACTTTGTCATGCATTTAGCACTAAAATGTAAACCACATGAAAAAAAAAAAATCATTTACAATAATATAATTGATAAATATTGGCACAAAATACTTAATAATTTATTGTTTTTAGAAGATATTGTCTTCAAGTAAAATTTTATTGAAACTTAATTTTAATTAATCATGTTCAGACTTCATAAAAATTTAAATTTTTATGAAAATTTAAATAAAAATGATATATCAAATATTTTGTACATGTACATTTATTATGCAATTTATGTTCTAGGTAAAATTTTGAAACACTTTCTACCCTTTAGACATAATGCTACAGTGCATTTTTCACATTTAATAAGCATTTGGAATTTGCAGTTTTCCATTTTACGAGTGCGATTTGTGTTCTGTATGGGAACATGTTGAATGTTTCAGGTTTGAGAAATGTTTGATGCAGGTTTTCTCTGTCTTTTCGCATTGTAAACAGAAATGAATTCTGTGTTCTTGCCACTAATAAAATAAAGAGTACAGTTTTATGCTGCCATCTACTAGGGAAATGAACAGCTAAAAATTGATATGGTTCTATTAAGGTAAGAACCAGCCCACTAAACCGTCTGCTTTGTAATTTTTTTAAAGCTAAATTCATATATGCATCACCATGCATTGAAGGGTTAAAAGTACTTAATTTCCATGTGCAGAAATGTGTATAAACACTGTAATATGAAAAAACAGTTTCTTGATGTATTGTTGTTTCTAATGGGGAAAATGTGTGCATAAATATCCCTTTCCCCAGATATTATTAGAACCATTTTATGATTTTGTGAACTTTTAGAAATTTGATTGAATTTGACTTTAATGTTTCCTTTTGTACAGGTTTTAATCCACCAGAGGATTAAAGATACAGTTTGTGTCCTTTCAGATTTCAAAGTAAAAAGAAAGCTAAGTAAGTGTCTTTCTAATCCTCCTCTTATCTAAACTTTATTTAGTTTTCTTTATTTGTTTGAATCAAGTTAATTTCTCATCCTTTTCCACCAGGCCAGGTTTCTTTAATTTTGCTTGTGTTTTTTGCAAAATGATGGTAAAATATTCTTCAGTGAATACCCCCCCCCCCAGAATTCAACAATATTTTTCTTAAATAATTTAGTGTTGACTTTTTCTATCTCATTTTTGCCTAACAATTAAACTATTCCTCATACTATCTCAATCTTTGAACCACTCAATGAGTTTTAAAATATTTTAATTGAGTTCTTTATACAAGTCTGATATATAATTTGTGTAGTAAAATTTGGCACTTTTTGAAATTATTCATATTTCTTTGCTACTTTTTTTCAAACAAATGAGTTATTGAATCAAATTCTTAGAAATTATGATTTTGAAATCTCCATTTTAAATTTGATGTGCCAATTTATTGGTACACTGCTCAAAAAAAAAAATGGGACAGTCCTATATCTCCCGATCTACTGGGCCGATTGACAAAATTCAAATTGCGTTCTTCATGTCTCGAAAGCGCGACTTAGGATATATATTAGATTTATATATAGCACTATTCTAACATAGGTATTTTGACACAAAATCGGACTTTTTCTGAAATATCATACCAATTGTTTTACATATTTCGATTCTACGACTCAAATTACGCCTAAATATGAAATTTTGTAAAATTTGGAGCAAAATTTACGGAGAAATTCACAAATTTATGTTGGCACTTTTTTGTCAGTTTACGCCAAGAATACTTCACTTGGCGAACTTCTTAATATATGGCAACCTAGTTTCCTTTCCGGTGAGAGGAAAAAAAGTCACCATTGTTCATTTTTTCCAAATAATATTCTTTATATTATATTTTTAATTACAACTGATTATTTTAAGTAATTTTTTCTTTTTCGAATTTCATTTTAATTGTTTAAGTTGCACCTTTTTTTTTTTTTTTTCGAATAACTGTTTTAAAAATTTCGATTTACCTATTCGAAGTGCGTAAATAAAGGTGCGTCGTTTATTTTTTATCAAATAGTTTTCTTTATATATTTTTTTTGTCATAGTTATTATTTTTAAATAGGTAATTTTTAAATTTTTATACTTTTATTGTAATTGTTTGTGTTGCATTGTCTCTTCAGATAATTGTTTTAAAATTTTCTATTTATTCCTTCGAACTGAGCATTTAAAATATATTTATTAATATCAATTTTCCAGAATTTGATTTTATTTATTTGAACTGCGTTTCTTTCGGAAGAATACTTTGTAACCCAGACTACGATGAGTTTGAAAACTGCATACTATATTAAAAGACAAAATACAGTAAAGCACAGTTTTACACGCCTTTCAATGTTCCGTTCAGAAAAGATATATATAAATAAGAGAGATTTATAACCGACATTTTAACTTAGGATGACTTGCATACACTGCTTTAAACAGTTTTATCATTGTGCCCATTGCTTTACACAATTTTATCCTACATTTGGTTTCTTAAAATGTTATTCATATTTTAGTCAAATATTTTATTTTTGAAATCGCAAGAATCAAATATCATAAGATTGAAAAGTTTTAAATTTAAAAAAATACGAATACTAAATTTTACGAAAAAAATTATTTTTCTTCTCTGTTTCTTTAAGCATTCTGAAAGTATATTGAAAAGTATCCAACTTTTCGAAACATTTTGGTATTTCTGACAATCATTTTAAATAAAGTTATCGCCTTCCATTTCATAAAGGCCCACAAACGGCCGAGCGGTAAAGTTGCTGATCACTGGTAGTTCGGTCCAAGGTTCGAATCCTGCGAACGGGCTGTTTGCATGGGTGTTTTCGTGATTTTCCCAATGTGTAACGTGTATACGAGCCAGTTCCCCTTAGAGAGTCCTCCACGAAGGCATCCCTCCTTTTAGGCAGATAGCCCTCGTGTGCTTTGCCATAATTAAATAATCCAATCCAATCCTTAATTAAATATAACTGATTTGTAACTTCTACTAGAACTGACGTTAAGAATTGAAGTGCAAATAAATAATATCGTGTGCAATCTTGATTAATATAAAATTAAAATTTTTGCGCAGAAAAATATTTGCATTCAGACAGAAAGTTTTTTGATATATTTGCAATTACTTTATAAGAAGGATTTATTAATAACCGTAATAATTACTTGTTATATTACTGATGATTTGGAATCAGTTCTTGACAATTACATTCTAAATTAGAATTTTAAGAATTATTAGAATTTTAAATTAGAATAATGAAAATACGCTACGCACCAAAATACATTTTAGGATAAAAAATTAGTTGATTTTTTGTTTTAAAACTTCTTGAATTCATTTAATAAACATCGTATCCTCGTTGTTAATTGAGTTCAGAATGTTGGGTGTCGTTTATATAATTATTCTTACTTGTCCACGGAATCTGCTGACTTATCCAGCGATTAAGTAGCTGCAGATCATTTCTACATAACGATTGAACTTCCATTAATTCAGTCTCTAGAGGGTTGTATGTTTATATCATAATTTGACTTTTATAAAAATGATTATTCTAAATCTCATGTTTCTATAAAAATATACTGTGCTTTAAAAATATGGATGATAGTACCAGCCGCTCTTTCAGCCACTTCAAAAGCATCAGTTTGTTTAGAAATAAATTGTGCAGTTAATGTCATAAAATTCAAATAAACATCAAACGAAAATTCTCAGTTTTAGACAATTCGATTTAAACGAAGTAAAGTAGCAGACGATAAAATGCCGAAGGTAAAAATTTACTCTTATTAAAAAAAAAAAAAAAAAAAAGGATAGAGAGAAATTAAAAAAAATATTAAAAAATTTATTTAAAAAAATAGCTTTTCATATAGTATTAATAAATATTTATTACCCATCATTGAGGGAAAAAATGTCATATAATTAATTCTCTGTAAAATTTTACTTGAAATTTAAGGTTAAAAATAGCTGTGGCAATACAGTGTAGCATATACATAGACCACATTTGGCGTTATTATCACTCAAAAAAAAGATGCCAAATTTCAAAACACGAAAATATGTAAATTTGTGTATATCTTGGAAAATAATAAATAAAAAAGTATAATGTTTTGCAGATATGCTTAAAAATATACCTACTTTAAGATGATGGTAAAATTTTTATAGGTTATAATTCAAAATTTTTTCGAAAAATAAAAAATAAAAAATTATTTAAAAATAGAAATTTAAAAATAAAACACAAAAAAATGGGTAAATTTTATTTGGAATGAACCTAAATTTCGAAATGTGAGAGAAAAAATAAAAAAAAGTTTAATAAAAAAAGAGATATAAATAAATATTTGCCAAATTCAATTAACATTGAGGAGCTAAAACTTTGAGAGCTAATATTTTAAAAACTACTCGTACGATTTTTACAAAACTTGGTATTCTGGCATAATTTGAGTCGTAGAATCGAAATATGTAAAAAGATTGGTATGTTATTTCAGAAAAAGTCCGATTTTTTGTCAAAATACCTATGTTAGAATAGTGATATATATAAATCTAATATATATCCTAAGTCGCGCTTTCGAGACATGAAGAACGCAATTTGAATTTCGTGAATCACCCCAGTAGAACATGAGATATAGCACTGTCTTTTTTTTTTTTTTTTTTTTTTTTTTTTTTTTTGAGCAGTGTACATCATGATAGAATGATTTAAGTATTTTTTGGTTAGACGAAATGTCTTTGGAGCATATAGACATTCAGTGTCAAAATGTTTAATAATAATTATTTTGCAAAAGCAAGCTATTGTTTGTTATTCTGTGGAAAACATGAAATTAGTTTTGCAAAAGTACGATTATTCAAAGATTATAAACATTCCAATTATGTAAATCTGCATCAATTTTATTTGCTTAATTTTAAAGTAAAATATTTTATTCATTATTAATTGAATAATGTAAGGAAAACGTATGTTAGTTATTCTTTGACTATGAATTTAAAAATACAATAAAAACAGTATTTTGCTAAAGTCTTGAATAATAACTTGGGCATAAAAATTCATGGAAAATTAGGGAAATGAATTTTTTTTTTGAAAAAATATAATTCTTCACCTCCTGAAAAATCATGACTTTTTCTAAGAAATCAATGAATCCTTCCATATAATTAAAAATTTGTGTACACAGTTAAATTTGCTGTCTTGAAAGGAAAGCAAATGAAGAATTACTGTAATTTTTATTCTTCTTGCAGAAACTATTTTAAGTAGTTTGCCCTTTTCGCATCTGATCCAACTTTTATCAAACTCATAATTTTCTTCTCCTCTGGCTAGTAAGCTCTTCTTTTATAACTACTGTTTTATGGTTTATTGCCTTTAGAATATGTCCTATCACTTATAGAAATAGAATTGCCCTTCAAAAATAGTATAAGAAGTAATTATACTATGTGATTGTCTATTATAATAAATAACTATATTAAAGAAGCACTTTAATCAGTCTAACTATATTTGATACTCTTCTGTTATCGGAACCAGATTCAGAAATGTATATATGTATGGATGGATGGATGTGTTCATGTATGCACATACAGTACAAAGTCCGAAATCCGGACTGGCCGGGACTTCGGCGTTCTGGATTGGGGATTTTTCCGGATAATAGATTATCAGTTTAAATCTGGTAAGATGACATGCAGAAATTATACAATTAAAAATATGAAATCGTAATTTATGAAATAAAGAACAACTATGATCTAAAGGGTATCAAGATTTACAAAAGAAAGCTTAATATTTATTTGTTTTATTAAACATTTCTTTCAATGTAAGTTGCTTAAGATGCTTCCACAGAAAATTTAAAAAGTTCCTTTTTTCTTTTTTCTTGTGTCATAAACAGTGGACTTTCCAATGCCATACTCCTTGCATAATTTTGAAACTGATATGCCTTTATCCATTTTTTGCAGCAATTCACCTTTTTTGTTTAATGGGCATCGAAACATGGTTTCACTTTGTAGATCCTTTGGGAACTCCAGAATTGGAAACTCTTTTTGACATAATCGAAAATTCAAGCTTAGTTTTTATAAAATTGCTGTAATAATAATAACAGTCTGCAAAAAATAATAAGCTGGACCAAATTAGAAGATCAGGGGGCAGCGCAGTCTGCTACATTAATTGAAATGCCTTAGAATCAATAAAGATAATTTTAGCCTTACTTAATAGTGTCTATTATACATTATTGGCTGTGTATCACAAGATTGGCGACAAAAGCCAAGTTGTTTCGCTAAATTTTTTCTTGCTCCTATTACTGCGTTTATTTCTTGCACATGCTTCAAGCTAGTTCGAGACCTGAATAGATAAACTTCCACATATATTTAATGCTTTATCTAAGGCCGGCGCTCGATACCGCCTGGTGCAGTCTCTACGGATCCTCAATTCTGCTACAAAGCTAAATTTTCACCGTGCCTAAACTTTGGATCCCAGTGCTTTCCCTAAGTCATAAATATTTCTCATCCCTTAATTTTGCCTCTCGGTGCTTCCCCAAATTCCAAAAATTTCGTCTTTCCTAAATTCTACCGCCGCTTCTGTGTTTATGGTGAATAACATATCAGTTATTCTTAATTAAAATAACGCCGAAATGCGCAATGAATTGGAAGTTGATCTGTCAGCACTATCCTTATTTTCAGGGCAGATGTTTTTATTTTATTTGGCTTATAATTCCTTACTAAATGTAGTATTTCATCTCGATGTACTCAGTCTTTGATATGATTTAAATCAAATTCCTCGTCATTATAATTAGCTTCTGATAGCGAAGAAAGTGACGCAGAGGTTACTGAAAACGAATTAATTTCGATTGACAAATTAGTCGGTATTCTCGACACAGCAATTATAGGACTTAAACAGCGGAACTTTGTAACTGAACAAGAAATTATGTCTGTTTATAGAATTAAAGAGAAAGTATTATCACATAAAAAACGGAGCAACCTAAACAACTTACATTGAAAGAAATGTTTAATAAAATAAACAAATAAATATTAAGCTTTTTTTTTTTTTTTTTTGTAAATTTTGATGCCCTTTAGATCATAATTGTTCTTTATTTCATAAATTACAGTTTCATATTTTTACTTTTATAATTTCTGCATGCCATCTTACCTGATTTAAACTGATGATCTATAATCGAGAAAAATCGATAATCTGGAATCGCCGAAGTCCCAATGAGTCCGGATTAGCGACTTTTGACTATACTACAAACAAACATACACACACACACATAAAAAAAGAGGAAGTAAAAATCTGAAAGGGTTTTAGATTAAGGTTTGTTAAGGTTTTTTATTCGGTCACTGAGCTCGCAACCTTAACCTGCTGATCTCACTCCTGCTAACCTTTTTTTTTTTTTTTTGTTTGAATTTTCAGCTTTATTATTAAGCATTGTATTTTTATGCTACATATAGTTCATAATTCAACAACAAAATCACAAAAGTTCTGAAAACTGAATAGCAGCATATGTTTAGAATTTCCAATGCAGTATTAAGTATTGAAGTATATTTTTATATTTTTGCAATCTTTTGTCAGTTCACCATATCAATATTCAGTTTGCTTTTAGTAAAATGACTAACAATTGTTTTTTTGTCGCCATTATTAACTTTTCATGTGTTAAAGTTTATTTATTAAAAATCAAGTTCATCTCACTTACGCAACATAAAATTCAGTTAACAGCAGAAACACAATATATTTAAAAACAGCATATCTTTAGAATTCCCGTGTTAGCGTTTGCCATACATATTATTATGTTCGCTGTATTATTTCTTTAAAAACTAGCTGCTTGTGTGCGGTCAGCTGCCTAAATAGTTGTCATGAATAAGAGAAGTATATAATGATTTTAATGAGTCCATCTAATGTCATAAAAAATATTGAATATTTTTAATTAGACATCTCGTGTTTTAATACATATTTATTTAAATTGATCACATTAAGAAATAGAAAAATTATTCTTAAGAACTGTATTTATTGTTTTTAAATAGCTACTGCTGAACTGAATGTACTCTCTACTACTCAAGATACTCCCATACTCCGTCTACAGGCAGGACATGTATAGCTTTTGACCTGCCTTCGAGAACATTCTCTGGAAAACTGGTAAGAATTTGTTCTAGAATGCTTTCGTTCCATCTATGGCATAGTGTCAATTTTTTTGCCAAATGGGCGATTTTGTGCCAAATCTGCCATCCCCACCTTTCCTTGCTGCTTTCCGGCAACCGAAAACCGGCTTTGGGGGGGGGGAAGGGGGAAACTATCCTATGGCAGCTGGGCATTTCGCAACAATATTCTTACAGCTGCCAGCTGCCCAGTGTTTTATTACATCTCCCTCAGTAGATCACTGAATCCCCCATTTTTAATTTTTTTGCCTTTTATCAAGGAAAATGTCTTCCAGCAATAAATGATATTTTTTAAGTTGAAATATAAATTTTAAAAATTGCACTCTCTAATCACAAGATTTTTAGCATAATTTTTCTTATTAAATTTTACTGTTACTTTCTGATTATCTGCACTCTTTTCTAAAAAAGTAGCCATTCACTGGCAACTAATTTTTTGTTAAACTAAGATGTGGAAGACAACACCCATTTTTAAATATGGTGGAGTACTGGGAATTGCATAAAACAACAGCCAGTTAACAAAATCAAAAGTGCAAGAAAGATCCATAATAAAATACTTTTGCACATATGTTTTATCTTAAAAACTATAACACAAACTTCAACACTGTGCGTGTTGTTATTCTCTCTGTGTATGCAATAAGATATTTTTCCTTTTAGAAAAAAGTGCAAGAATGGACAAAATTTAATGAGTTGGGAAGTAAAACTTCATGAAATGAAAATTTTTGCATTTGTTGAACAAAATGCCATATTTCTGCACTTTTTCATCAGCAAGAAAACTTCACAGTCCCATTATAGTTCCTTGGACGGAAAACAAAATGTACTCAAATACAACAAAAACATGCACTGATCAGAAAAATGACTGTTGATTTTGAAGCCGAAATTGGCTCTGGTCTTAGATTGCTTGTTATGGCAACATAGTGCATTGCTTCATGAATATATCTTGGGGGGGGGCAGATAATCAGAGAGAACTATTTTATTTGATCAGAATCTACTGTAGACATTTATGGAACTTTTTACGTAGATTCAATTAATTTTTTAATTTATTAGCTTTTTTACTAAGGAAAATTTTTCTCTGCAAAAGAAAATTTATTGTTATAACGAAACTTAAAATTGTACAAATTGCATTTCTTCACTCCTAGTGAATTTAGGATATTTTTTTCACACAAGAAAACAAAAAAACATTAAAGTCCTTGCCGGAAAACAAAAGGGTTTGCTGGTAAGGATAAAGGAAACCTGCATTCTATGGCAAGGAGTGTCAAAAATGCCAAAGCTGTGCCAAATTCTGCCACATCTTTCTTGCACTTTCCGGCAACGCGAAAAAACGGCTTGGGGGAGGGAGGAAGGGAACTTGGGGGGGGGGGAAGAAATATCCTATGGCAGCTGGGGCATTTCGCAACAATATTCTTACAGCTGCCAGCTGCCAGTGTGTTATTACATCTCCCTCAGTAGATCACTGAATCCCCATTTTAATTTTTTTGCCTTTTATCAAGGAAAATGTCTTCCAGCAATAAATGATATTTTTAAGGTGAAATATAAATTTTAAAAAATGCACTCTCTAATCACAAGATTTTAGCAAATTTTTCTTATTATTAAATTTTACTGTTATTTGATTATCTGCATCTTTTCTAAAAAAGTAGCCATTCACTGGCAACTAATTTTTTGTTAAACTAAGATGTGGAAGACAACACCCATTTTTAAATATGGTGGAGTACTGGGAATTGCATTAAACAACAGCCAGTTAAACAAATCAAAAGTGCAAGAGAAAGATCCATAATAAAATACTTTGCACATATTTTTTTATCTTAAAAACTATAACACAAACTTCAACATGGCGTGTTGTTATTCTCTCTGTGTATGCAATAAGATATTTTTCCTTTTAGAAAAAGTGCAAGAATGGACAAAATTTAATGAGTTGGGAAGTAAAAACTTATGAAATGAAAATTTTTGCATTTGTTGAACAAAAATGCCATATTTCTGCCACTTTTTCATCAGCAGGAAAAACTTCACAGACCCATTATAGTTTCTTGGACGGGAAAAACAAAAATGTACTCATACACTGATCAGGTTGTTGAGGTTGGCGAAATTGGCTGTCTTAGATTGCTTGTTATGCAAATAGGCATTGCTTATGAATTGGGGGGGGGGGCAGATAATCAGAGAGAACTATTTATTTGATCAGAATCTACTGTAGACATTTATGGAACTTTTTACGTAGATTCAATTAATTTTTAATTTATTAGCTTTTTACTAAGGAAAATTTTCTCTGCAAAAGAAAATTTATTGTTTATAACGAAACTTAAAATTGTACAAATGCATTTCTTCACTCCTAGTGAATTTTAGGATAATTTTTTTTTTAAATTTATTTCATTTGAATTTTATGTTTTCTAACCACATCTTATTAAATTTTTTTAAATTAAATATCTCTTACTAAAATTTGGATCGGATCGAATTGTCTCAATCCACTGTAGACATTTGTGAATCTTTATATGAAGAATCGATCAATTAATATTTGTGTTTAATTTGGTTTTAAGTGTCTCACATAATTGTATATTTACATTAATTATCAATATTATTTACATAGCATTTAAAAGTAATTTTATAAATAAAATCTTTCTTCCCTACTCGGAGAACTTTCTCAGTAACAAAGTATAAGAAAATAACAGAATGAACTTAGTAAATGAATGTAAAATTTAGAATATCTATTTAAATATGAATACATAGTAAAATTAAATTAAATTTAAATAATTCCCCTAAGGCCGCCCCCCCCCCCAAAAAAAAACATTTAAGAGGAACAAGAGCAGGTAATGGACAGAAAAATAATTTTTTTTCTGCAATAGATATAGTAAAGTTAAACAATAAATGGGAGAAGTTTTCTGTAGGCAAGAATTCTAAATTACTTTGGTTTTCTAAAAAAATTTGGTTAATTGACATTTAATTAATTTTAATTCTAGTTAGTCATTTACCTGCTAATTTCTCAAAATTTCACTTGTTTAAATTTTTTTAGTAATTCACAACATTTGATTTTACTTTTGGTTTTGAATTTTACTTTTACCCTTGCCTACATGAATCACGAAACACAAATTGAGTAATTGAAGAGTTAGGTTTGGAGGCAACTTCCGCTTGATAAATCTGTCTCCTGCCTGCTCAACAATTATTCTCTTATGCATTTTGAAATTTTTCAGGATTAAAAATTTTTTTGGGAATATTATATATTTATCCATGGATTTTGATACTTGCACTTATTTACATATGCTCTCAGAATTTAAATGATATTGTAGGTATTAATTAATCATTTATTTGTTTGCAATTAAAATTTAATTTTTAATTATCTTTTTACTTGTTTTTTTACGAATAAAGAATGTTTATTCAATATTTAAATAGGAATATATATTACACCAGAATCGCATTATAAATAGTTGAATAATCTGACTCGTGCAATATAAAGTGAATGCAAGTTCATTTGGAATTCTTTTGAAATCAAGCTGCACAAAAACCTCTCTGAAACTCCCAGTTTTCTTGTGAAAATTGCTTGGTTTTTGTATTTCATGGCTAGAAGCTGTGATAATCACATACTTGATTTTTGAATTTGGGTATATAGTAAAAAAATTGTCAGTTGGTTTAATTGAAGGATACATCTTGCATACATAAAGAATGTATACGTATACAGTACAAAAACCGTAATCCGGACTCGTTGGGACTTCGGCGATTCCGGATTAGGGGTTTTTCCGGATTATAGATCATCAATTTAAATCTGGTAAAATGGCATGCAGAAATGATACAATTAAAAATATGAAATCGTAATTTGTGAAATAAAGAACAGTTATGATCTAAAGGGTATCAAAATTTACAAAAAAAAAGCTTAATATTTATTGGTTTACTTTATTAAACATTTCTTTCAATGTAAGTTGTTTAAGATGCTTCCACAAAAAATTCAAAAAGTTCTTTTTTCTTGTGTCATATATAGTGGACTTTCCAATGTCATACTTCTCGCATAATTTTGAGATGGATGGGGCTTTTATCCATTTTTTTCACTAATTACACTTTTTGTTTAATGGACATCGAAACTTGGTTTCGCTTTGTAGATCCTTTGGCAGCTCCAGAATTGGAAACTCTTTTTGACATAATTGCTTAAATTTCAAGCTTAATTTTTATAAAATTGTTCTAATAGTCTGCAAAAAATAATAAGCCGGATCCAATTAGAAGATTAAGGAACAGCGCAATCTGCAGCATTAACTAAAATGCCTTAGATAATTTTAGCCTAGCGTATACCCTCCGTTATACATTAAACGCGAATGCGTTTACGCACGCGCATAAAGTTTGCAGCTTTGAGGTCCGGATTATAGATCATTCCGGATTATGGACGTTCGTATTACAGACTTTGAACTGTAGTATACATCTGATACAAGCTAAAAATTCGGGATGTACCAGCCACACTTTTTGTCCTTTGAAAATAGGTCTGAAAAACGGGGTGCATGGGATTCCGTGAAAAGTGCTGTAAAAAACTGTGGTTAAATCATTTAAGAAATATGGCATTAGTAATGCACTGGATGATACAGAGGACAATTTGTTGTATGAGGATTCAGGTGCTGATTTAGAAGAGGCTTCAAGTGACTCTTCATTTAGCTCTGGAGACGAGTGTCTGGGTTTTGACGAAGGAGATTAAAAGGTGTTCTTTCCTAAATAGATTGGGTATTTGCAGAAATTCTTACTTTGCATTTCTATTACTTTATGATGCAAAAGCAAAGTTTAAAGTTATAAAAACATTTATCAGAAATAGCAATAGAAGCTTCCTAAGGAATAGTATATGTACTGTCTAGACATTGAAGACAAAAATTTTAAACTTAACCAATTTATTAACAATATATATAAAAATGCAATAAATAAATTTAATCAATACCACAAACTTAAAGAGTGTAACATTATCAAAAATTACATTTAGTTGACTATTCATTAACCCCAAGGGTTTTTCCTTTAAAGAAGATTACA